CCCACAACTTTTTTGGTGTATGGGGCGACGCTCCAACAAACCAAACCACCTGTCCAGGGTGACCTTGCACATTCTTATAACCATTGTTTTGAGTTCTGTATCTAGTAGATTGCTTTCCTCCAGTTCATTTATTTTTCTGGACTTCTCCTGTTCATGCATTTGGGGTATACTTCTTTTTTTTTTTTTATCCTCACCCGAGGACATTTTTCCATTTTTTTTTGTACAGACAGAGTGGGAGGGAGAGAGAAGAAGAGAGAGAGAGGGAAACATCGATGTGAAAGGGACACATCGAGTGGCTGCCACCCGCACGACCAACCAGGGCCGGGGACAAACTGCAACCGAGGTACGTGCCCTTAGCGGGAACCAAACCCGGGTCTCTCCGGACCGCAGGCGGACGCTCTAACCGCTGAGCCAAACCGGCCAGGGCTGGGGTATACTTCTTTGTCTCCTCACTTTGCTGCCTCTCTGTGTCTGTCTCTGTGAATTGAGCGAATCTGCTGTGCCTCCCTGTCTTGGTGTGACGCCCGTGGGGCTCCATCGCACAGTCTCCCTTCTCACACGAGCAAATGCTCCGGGAATATCTCTGTGTAGGTTTGGTGATACCTGTTGCAATTGAGTCTTGATTATTGTTGGCCCCTCTGTGCGTGGGGTCAGACCTTGGCCGGGCCGACTCTGAGGACTGACCCTGACCGCAGTGTGTGAGCTGCTTTGCAGTGCTGACCACACAGAGGTGTTCTCCCCAGCAGGGCTGGTGTCTGTGGGATCTCTCTGTGGACGAGCCGCTTGCGGGGCTCACCGGGTCTGCGCTGATGGAGTCTGAAACCACCATCAGAGGTGCCGCGGGGCCTCCTGGGAGGGCGCTGGTGCAGGTAAATGTAAGCTGCTGCCTGTGGCTGGCTCAGGGCTACTGTTTAAATGTAAGTGGAATAATGTTCCAATAAAAAGACACCGGATGAATGGATTAGAAAACATGACCCATCTATATACTGTTTACAAAAGACTCACTTCAAAAAGAAAGACACATACAGACTGAAAGTGCGGGATGGAAACAGACATCCCATGCGAATAGAAACGCAAAGAAAGCTGGGGTAGCAATACTCAAATAAGACTAAATAGATGTCAAAACAAAAAAAAAGTCAGAAAATACAAAGAACGTAATAATATAGGGGTCAATCCAAGAAGAAGACGTAATTATATATATCTACACACCCAACATAGGAGCATCTAAATATATATACAGCAATGATTAATAGACATAGAGGAATTATTAATAGTCATAAAAGAAGAAAATTAATAAGAAAATAATGGCCTTAAAATTTACATTTGATAGATTAACTTAATGGTTTTTAGAACATTTCATCCCCAAACTGCAGAACACACATTGTTCTGAGTGCACAGGAACATTCTCCAGGGTTGATCACAAACTCGGTCCCAGAACAGGCCTCAGGAGAAGGTCCCACGTGGCAGCAGAGTCGGTGGAAGGTACATGCCCCTCCACGTCAGATGTATCACTAAATTATAGAACAATCAACAAACGTAACCATCTGAAGTCTTATAACTGAGGACAGAGAGAAGAAACCACCTCAAGGCTGGAAGGAGGAGCAGAGATGCAAGAGGGTGGTCCTGTACCCAAGAGCCGTGGTTGGGAATCCAGAAGGATATCTCAGCTGCAGAGTCTCCCCAGAGAAGTGAGGGGTCTCAGCCCTGTACCGACATCCCCAGCCCAGAGCCTCAGTGAGGGGTCTCAGCCCTGTACCGACATCCCCAGCCCAGAGCCCCAGTGAGGGGTCTCAGCCCTGTACCGACATCCCCAGCCCAGAGCACCCGTGAGGGGTCTCAGCCCTGTACCGACATCCCCAGCCCAGAGCCCCAGTGCAGGGAAGAGGACCTCATCAGGGATTTTGTCCCCCAACATGAGAGGAGAGAGAGCTGGAAACCCAGGCATCCTCTTAAAGGGCCAGCACACAAAATCTCACACCCAGGACCTGGCCAGTGCAGCTCAGGTAGTTGCAACATTGTCCATACACTTCACATTCATGAGCTTGATTTCAAATCAGGGCAAATAACGCAGCTCAATCCCTGATAGGGCTGTACCAGAGGCAACCAATCAATGTCTCCCCCCCCCCTCTCCCTGCCCCTTCCTCTCTTTCTAAAATCAATAAATACATATCTTAGGGTAAGGATTCAAATAGATAAATAAAACCCCACCCCCAGTGCTCGCCCTGGGCTCTGGTGGAGGGATGGCAGCTCCAGCTCGGCGGGGACTGGGGTCACACAGGGGAGAGCGGGCTGTGTGGCTCCTGGGAGAGAACTGGAGGGACAGTTGCAATGTCCCTGTGCCGAGTCCCTCCGCCCCCACACACCGTCCTTCCTGGGTTGAGCACTGCCCTCCTTACCCCATGAGCCGGGACATGCACTACCCCAACTCTGCCAACTTCCCGAGGCCCCACCAGGCCAGGTCATACTTGATGGAAGAATCTGCTAGTGGCATCTGGACGGACTGTTTTGCAGTCTTTCCTGAAAAACCGAATACATTTTGAGCCAACTACGGGAATACCAGGGACACACAGGCAAAGGCGTTAGTCAAGGGGCCAATTTTACCGCCAAGTGCCCAACCAGCACCCCTTTCCTGTGTGGGCTCTGCCCCCATCCCTGCCCTGGACTGAGGGACCGCACCAGCCCACCCTCCAGAACCCCGAGGCCCTGCGTGCGGAGCCCTCACAGGGCTGCGGGGCTGCTGAGGGCAGCTGGCCTGGGCCCCCCTCACCGTCTTTCTTGTAAAACTCTCCACAGGCACCACCTTTCCTGGGCAGAGCCCTCCCTCAGTCAAATCTGTGTTACCTGATGAACGCTGCCGTTTACACCCTGACCACTCCCTGAGACCCTGCCCCACCGTAAGTGTCCGCAGACTCCCGGTGGGTGGCGGCTGACCCTGTGCACCCTAAGACTGTTGCTGAGTGGTCTCAGACCCAGCACTAACCCTGAATGTAAATCTGTGTTCACCTGGTGAACCCCACTCTCCCCTTCCTGGTAACTCACTGAGAACCTCCTCACTCAACTCCTGTGCGGCCAGCAGCTCTTTTGTGACTGAGCCTGACAGACACCCGGCAGGCTCGGGTCTCGGGGTGCCCTGGGCCTGCTGCCGACCTGGCTCAGTGGTGCTGGAGCTGGCCTTAGTGTGGGCTCTGGACCCTCCGTCTTTTGTTGGAGCATTATTCAGTTTACATTTAAAGTAATTATCAATAAGTATGTACTTATTGCCATTTTGTTCATTGTTTTTTGGTTGTTTTAATAGTTCCCCTCTGCTCCTTTCTTCTTCTCTTAATCTCTTCCTGTGGAAACTAACCATGGTGCTCATCAGCTCTTCTGGTCCAGACAGTTCCCAAAGCTCCCGGGAGGGGGAAGGGCTCCGGCTGTTTCCAGCCTTCTCTGTTCAGTCTCTTTCTTTTGCTTGTTGTTCAGAAGCTGTTCATTCATGCAGGAGTCATCGCTCTCTCTCTCTATGTGTATATTTGAGTTTGCTCCGGGAAGGGAGAGAGTTCAGCTTCCTGCCACACTGCCTCCAACTTGACCTCCCTCCATAATGGTTTGATAATTGAACATATTGTGAAATGACCACCACAATAAGTCTACTTAACATCTATACCATGCTTAGCTAACATTCTTTTTCTTGTGATGAGAACCTTTAAGATCTCTCTTAGCTGTACATTACATCCTCATGACTTATTTACGTTTTAGCTGGAAGGTTGTACCGTTTAACCACCTTCATCCATTTCATCCAATAAATTGTGGTTCTTTTTACTACATGGTAAGTATTTTGTCACTAGAAAAATGAAGGCAGGTGAAGAACTTCAGATAGAGAGTTGTCCTTTAAAGTCCATTCAGGTTCTGAGATACACATTTATACTACAACCATGTGTAATAATTACATAAAGACAAATTACATGTTTAAAATTATATGATTACAATTCAATTACTTCCTGAACACCATGTAACAATTTTATTAGCAAAGTCTTCTTTTATCTTTTCTTAGAACAAAGCAAGAGAAGTCGACCTAGTAAGAGGACATGTCCTCAAGAAAGTGAGAAAACCATAATGGGGACCAGGAGTGAAGGTGGGGTGTTTTTTCACATGAAATGTTAGTTATTACAAAGCAGAGTGGCGCCAGAGGCTGACCGTGAGTCCTCTGTCCGTCTCTCAGCCCCTCGCAGGCTTAGATTTGGACAGTGGCCTGATCACACTGTAGGTTAAGTGCTGTCCAAGGACCTTCCCCTCCGTTCCAGGTAGATCGCCGCCTCCTCTGAGCCCCCATCTCCAGGTGAACCCTGGACGTGCCACTGAGCTCAGGACAGCACCGGAGAGGAACCTGATGACCTTCTCACTCAGGCTCCGCTATTGACAGCCTCCCGTCCCCTCCAGTCGGTGACACTCCTCCGTGAAGAGATGCCGATCACACTCCAATCAACAGCCGCGAGTCTGTCACGTCATCAGTCACTAGGGGAGCTGCTCCTGGAGTGTCCACAGAATCACAGCGTTTTCCAGGATTGAAACACCTGAAAGATCAGTGAGTTCAACTGCGAGAAGTTAAGTAATCTCCCCAAATCCACAACACTAAGTTATGGGGCAATAAGGACAGAATTGAAGGTCTCCTAACTTGCAATAATCTTCCCTTCATCCCTTCAACTCCCAAACACACTCATATATTTGTCTGCACAGCTGTCTCCTAGGGAGAGCTCAGAGCCCCGGACAGGCGCCAGCTGTGCGCATCACTGACCAGCACCGAGCGGGCCCACAGTGGGGCCTAGATGGTTCTGATACAACCAGGTCCAACTTTTGAAGCCCTAAATTGAAACAATCCTTTCAATGCAGGAAGTTCTAAGTTTCTGGAGAGGACCTTCATACGAAACCTCTGACCAGCAACTGATGACACGATTCACCTCGGATGCTGATTGGTTCTCAGCACCGAGAGTAACCAATCAAGGAACAAAGACACCAGCTCCTTGGTTGGTGTTATTTGGGGTGTGGGTGAGGGTCCCAGTCCTCACCGAGTGAGACTCGCCTGCCCCCGACCCTGTCCTCTGCTCTCCAGCATGGTGTGTCTGCGCTTCCCCCGCGGCTCCTGGGCGGCGGCTCTGCCGGCGACACTGATGGTGCTGAGCCCTCTCCTGACTTGGGCCGGGGACGCTCCAGGTGAGTCACCTCGGGGGTGAGCTGTGTGGGATGAGGAAGAAAGGAAATGAGCTTTGTCACCATGTCCAGACCATGTCTGTTCGAAAACTGACATTTTCTTCAGTGACCACCTGTCTGTACCATGTGGATCCTCAGTTCCTTCCACAGGAAAAGGAGGCTGGGTGCTCACCCCCGAGAGCTGTGTGAGGGGCTCCATGGGTGCAGCTGTTTCTTCTCGACTCCCCTCCAGTCACACCTCTGCCGTCCTGTGCCCGTTCCATCAGGGCCCAGTAGCTCCATTTATTATATTGAGTCATCCCAGGGGAAGGAAAGTTTCTCTGAAAGTTTATGGGGAGTCGAAAGGAATTAGAAGGGTCTCTCTTAGAAAATCCTGTTATGTTCTCAACAGAATCTGTGATGTTGGTGCCTCTCCCTAACATGTGGGGACCAAGAGGCTTCCCCCTCATCCCTTTCCTTCCTCCCTGAACCCCAGGGTTCATGAGGCCCGTGTCCCTGTGATGGAGGGTCTCCGACAGAAGTGGGGTTACTGCTGTCTCTGTTCCCCTGCGCAAAGCCCCCGGAGCTGAAGCGGAGATTCTTAGCACCTGGAATGGCCCACAGACAGGAGCACCCCGGGCGGATCTGTGATGCCTTAGAGCACGGAGGCTCCTTCTGACGCCTGGCCAGGGCCCTGTTCGACCCGGACCCGCCTGGACCTTGCCACACCCTGGTGTCTCCTGCCTCTGTCCTTCTCCGGCCTGAGCCCACAGCAGGGATTCAACTAGTAGAGATCAATTGTGTAAAGTTCTGATTTTTAAGTTAAAGATAGTCAAATATTAGCAATTTCCAAAGTTCAAACTGTACACCTTGAGCAGGAGTAGAGAGGGAGGGTGAAGGTTGCCTACATCCCACGAGCTGAAAGTCAAGGGGACCGGGGGCTTCCTGGAGCCGGGCCCCAGTGTTCGGTTACCCCCACTTCCAGGTCCCCCCATTCTTTCCCCAGCCATGTCACCACCTTCCTGAGACCCCAGAGTTCACGCAGACCCTCGCACTGGACAGATCCACAGACAACATGAAATGTAGTGATACACCCCTTCTGTTTTTTTGTATTTTTTTAAAAATCACCCCCTTCTTACCTGGGAAAGTCTCTTCCAGCAGTAGAAAGGGGGAGTCTGACTTTCTCACGGGAGGCGGAGGGGACACAATGTGTCCTCTGCATGAGAGGCGGAGGAGCTTGAGCCCCTGCTGCTTCCGGGGACCCCTCAGGGATCAGGTTCCAGAACCGGGGTTCTATCCTTAGACCACAGATACTCACCTGAGCAACTGTTCTGTCCTGGGCTCTACTCGAGGCTCGGAAACTACTGGAGTGTGATGGACAGTCCCCTTTACCGTGGAGGGTGGCTCATGTCAGGGGCAGAGACAATAACCTAATGCCATTTAGAAAGAAAAAATTCAGACAGCAATGACTGCTCTGGAAAAAAACAAAACCAAAAAATACGCAGGGTTATGGGACAGAGAGGCCTGGATTCACCTGACTTCAGCTGAACTGGTTTCTCCCTGAGAAGTGACATCAGAGACATTTGAGACCTGAATGATGGGAGAAGCCGCCGCGGGAATCCCTAGGGGACAAGTTCCAGGCAGAGGACAGGGAAGGCCCACGGTGGGGCCGCGTGTGCGGGTTGGAGGGGCAGGAAGAGCTGGGCCGAGCACCGCGAGCGCCCCGGGGAGCGGCACCCACCCCGGCAGAGGCTGGAGAGGACGGACCGCCCGCTGGGCCCTGCGGCCGCCGCAGGAAATGTTACTGTAGGTGCGGAGCTGTGTGAGCTTCCGGACGTTCCAGGGAGAGTCCAGATCGTATCTGTTGTGTAAGAATCACTGTAGCTGCCCCGTGGGGACTGGACGGTGGCAAGTGGCCTGGGGCTGTCGAGGAGCCTGGGGCTGGAGGGCTGGGGAAGGCACGGGGAGCAGGTGCTCAGGCTGTGAGCAGGGAGCGGGAGGACTTGGCAGACGCTGAAGGACTTGTTGGCGGATTAAATGGGGGAGGGGTAGGAAATCCAGCTTGTCCCTAAGGATTTGTCCCGAAGAATCTGAGGACACCTGGTGGAGCTCTTTATTGAGACAGGGAAGACTGAGGGAAATCACTTGACGCGGGTGGTCAGGAATGCATATTGTTTAAATTTGAAATGATTTCTGACCGCTGTCAGGAGCCTGGAGGAAAATGGAGAAACTCAAGGAAGAAACAATAGAATGCAGGAAAGGGAAACCATCACGAGATAAGGGAGATAAATCAGAAAACGGAGAAAATCGGGGACAGTGGAGCTAAAGGAGAAAACAGAATCAAGGGAAAAGGAGATAATGCAGAAATGAAGAGAATCAGGACAAATAGGATACAATGTAGAAAACGGAAACCATCAAGAGATAAATGAAATAATGGAGGAACTCAGGGGAAATTGAGATGGTGCCCAAATTATGGCCAACACAAATGGATTTGCCTGGCAGACTCAGTCATCTGCTAGTTGTGCTTGGCCAACTCGGCAATCGGCTAGTACTGCCTGGCCCACTCGGTAATTGGCTAGTCTGCCTAGCCCACTCGGTAATTGGCTAGTCTGCCTGGCTCACTCGGTAATTGGCTAGTCTGCCTGGCTCACTCAGTAGTTGACTAGTCTGCCTGGTTCACTCGGTAATTGGCTAGTACTGCCTAGCCCACTCGGTAATTGGCTAGTCTGCCTGGCCCACTCGGTAATTGGCTAGTCTGGCTAGCCCACTCGGTAATTGGCTAGTCTGCCTGGCTCACTCGGTAATTGGCTAGTCTGCCTGGCTCACTCGGTAGTTGGCTAGTCTGCCTGGTTCACTCGGTAGTTGGCTAGTCTGCCTGGCTCACTCGGTAATTGCCTAGTACTGCCTGGCCCACTCGGTAATTGGCTAGTCTGCCTGGCCCACTCGGTAATTGGCTAGTCTGCCTGGCCCACTCGGTAATCGGCTAGTCTGCCTGGTTCACTCGGTAATTGGCTAGTCTGCCTGGCCCACTCGGTAATCGGCTAGTCTGCCTGGTTCACTCGGTAATTGGCTAGTCTGCCTGGCCCACTCGGTAATTGGCTAGTCTGCCTGGTTCACTCGGTAATTGGCTAGTCTGCCTGGCTCACTGGGTAATCGGCTAGTACTGAGGATGGTTAGGGATAAATATTGTTTAAATCTGAAATGATTTTGACGCTGTCAGAGGTCAGTGGGATCCAGGACCCTGGCCTCAGGGCCCGCCCAGGGCTGGAGGGTGCGTTGCTGTCAGTGACACACGTGCTGTGTTAGGTTCCAGGAGGGGAGGAGGCCGCAGTGACAGCCTGAGAGCCCCGGACAAGAAGAGGGTGAGGGCCGAGCCCGGGGCCCGGGGCACCAATCAGCCAAGGGGACCGAGGGGGCGGCAGTGTGCGGAGGAAACCAGGAGCAGGCGACGCGTGCAGTGAAGGACGTGGTTTCCCAGGAGGAGGGAGCGGCCGGTGCGGCGGGGACGTGAGCGCAGTGGGTGCGGGGCGTGGGGACGTGACGTGTGCAGTCCGTGGGCACAGACGGAACCGGGTCGGACCGTGTGCAGAGGGAAGGGGAGCTGAAGGCCTGAGGGGTGGTTACAGGGAACTCTTTCGAGCAGCCGACTTCGGGGGAGACCAGGCTCTGGGACCGGGGGTCAGCGGGACCTAAAGCGTAAGAAGAAAGGAGCCTGGACGGAAGCTGGGAGGACCCGGGACCCAGAGACGCTCAGGCATCGGCAGGGAACCTGGAGTGACCTTGTGTGCAGAGGTGACTGGTTATGCAGAAGCCATAACTGTACAGCCCGTATGTATCAGTGACCTGGAATAGGCCGGTCAGCCCCTTGGTGAGGAGGATGGAGCCATCAACAGGACCGGTCTGGTCTCCACCGGCACGGAGACCGTAACTGCGGTTACTGTGTACCGGCCTAAGTCTGAGAAGTAATTCTCATAACTATCTTTTCTGCAGCAACTGAAATGTGATAATCTATACAATCTAAAATTCAGAGTGTAAGTAACTCACCCAGCGTCACAGTCAGTGTGGAGCCCGGATGACAGTCGAGACCTCAGTGTAGAAGCCCCTCTCCTAGGTCAGCACGTCCTTCCACAGTAGGTTCGTGAGGCTGTGTATCCCGTTGTTACACGCGAACCAAATGTCTGTCCTTGTGGGTTCAAAATGATATTCAGTGATAAAATCAATTACAGACAATTGCCAAATGGTGATGAAGGTATTTGCTTTAGGAAGTTAAGGAACAGAAAATCTGGTCAGCTTGCTTTCATAGAGGTTTTAAGATTCAAAACAGCCGTGTATTTATATGCTCGGCACTAGGAAGAATCACTACTTAATTCCACACTTAACAATGTCCTGTGAGGAATAAACTGTCGCTAAATCTATTTTAGAGATAAAGAAAAATAGCCCAAGTGGAAGAGCTAATGTTCAAATTTAGATTTTCTCATTCCAGAGCCACAGTGTCCTGGCTGGGTCTGAATTACTGCTGACATTTCTGATGTTCACAGGAGCCGGTGCATCTTAGGGTGGGGGGCGGGGAAGTGCAAGGTCTGCTCGTGCCAGGACATGGGAGCCGCTCACATGGACTTTGCATTTATAACTGGAAGGTTCCACACGGGCTCACACAGGTGCAGACCGCCGTGGGCCGTGAGGAGGAACACAGAGGTTTAAATAGACTCCTCCGCCCGACTGTCAGGAGTCGCTGGGGTCGCCCCAGGAAATGCAGGATGCCTGTGGCCGCTGGATTTTGGCTAAACAACAACGATGTGTCTGAAATCCAGATTTACCTGGGCACCTGTATTTTTGTTCGCTATGTGTGGGAACTTGAAGCCGGGCAGTGACCACGAACGACGGTGCCCACCACGCAGGGACAGTGAGCAGCACTCCCCCCAGTTTGGTGTCAACTTCCTCAGTGTCAGGAAGGTGCTGGAGAACATGACCCAGGGAGACCTGGTCTGTCCAGGGTGCCCTCCTCGCTGCCCCACTTCCAAGTGAAGGTCTCTTCTCAGCCTGGGGCCTGCTCGTTTTTGGAAACTGTGTGAGAAGGTCATCTCCTAGCTTCTCCCCTTCTGAGGGGACCTGACCATAGAGAGGAGGGTCACCTCTGGCCAAGGCTGGTGATCTGATGCCCCTGGTCTCACCGGAGCAGGAGACAGTAGGAGGGTGAGTTGGTTGGGGCACTGAACGGGGTCGAATGGCCGTGGCTGCGGTTTTCTGCTGTAGTGAGCGGTGGGCCAGCGGCAGGGACGCAGAACGACGATGTGGAGGCAAATTATGCGACTTGGTGGTTGGTTGGCAAGGCGAAGAAACAGGTAAACCTTGGTCCTGAACACAGTTATTTCACTAAAAAAAATTACTCAGCACTGGGACCAGATCACTAAAAAATACTCATTTCATACAGGACCAAGATTTCAAGGTACCTTGGTAAAACCTTCTATGCACTTCTCAGTGCCTTTTTCACCACACACTTTTCACGTGTTCACACCAGCGGAGCTCACCCTGCAAGGTTCACGCCCCCTTTCCCCTCCCCCACCCCTGGAACATCTGGCAACATCTGGAGCCATGTGTGGCCGTCACAGTGGGGTCTCTTCTGACACTCGTGGGTGGAGAGGCCTGACGCTGTGTACAGCCCCCTGTGCACAGAACAGCCCCCCCCAACCACAAAGACCTGTCTGGTCCAAAGTGTCCCTAGTACCAAGGCTGAGATGAAAACACCGCTTTACACTGAACCGTTTCTCAAAACTCTAGACTCACACTCTAGACTTCCCGTTCAGTTCTTCGTGGTTTATTAAAAACAAAACTAGACACTCTAGACTCACACTTATACACACACTCACCTTCCGGTTCAGTTCTTCGTGGTTTGTTAAAAACAAAACTGGACAGTTACATAAATTCACCACATTCTTGCTGAATCCATTCAATCAACTGAAGTTCAAGATCTTGTTTTATTTTTTGCCTTATGCGATGTCTTTCAAAATGTCGTGCGTTCTTGGGCATCACATCTCTGTTAACTTTCAACAACTTGTCGTTTGAAGTCACGACGTTTTCCGGTGAAGTGTCCCTTCCCACAGGACTGGGGAGCTCAGAGGCGTCCACGTAGGCGTCTCGCTGTGACCACGGGTCTGGTCTGGGGTTCGGAGCCTTCTGGGTCGGGAAATGCAGAGAAGCGATGCGGCCCCACCGACTATGCTGTCATCCCTGAGACCCTCAGGGGTTCCCCTGCACTGACTGAGGTCCCCCCTCACCCAGGCTCCTCAGGCCCCTGACTGGTTCTCACTGTCCCCTCCCCACCCCCTCTGTGCCTCAGGAAACCTTCCCTGGGCTCCTGGAGGAAGTGCACCTGGGGTCACCTGTACCCGAACGTGCCTCCCCTCCCCCAACACGCAGGTCTCCCTCCAGCTCCCCGGACTCACCCTGTCACATCCCCAGTGTCACCCACAGGCCCCCTCTTGGCACCTCGTGTCCTTCAGCCGATGCTCTTCCTCCCGGTCCTAGAGCTCACTGGTCTCCGCTGTCCTCCCTCCCGCGGGAGTTCGCGCGTGGGCGTGGCCGTGGCTTCAGGGCGTTGAAGCTGGGGGAGGGGCGGTGCCTGGTTTCCTCTGGGTCCGGCAGGGGCCTGGCTCGGGGTCCCCTGACCAGGGGCCTGGCTCGGGGTCCCCTGACCGTCCCAGAAGGAGGAGGAGTTTCCGGAAGGGGAAGCTCGGGGCCCAGAGCAGGGAGGGAGGCTTCTCGGAGGTGGTGGCCGCACAAACCCCGTCAGCCTTGGGGTCCTCTGTGGCTCAGGATCCCGGGGTCCCTCCCGCCCCCCTCAGCCCCAGAGGAGAGGTGCCCCTGGGTGCTGGCTGCCGGGTGCCCGTGTCCTGTGTCCCCACCGCCTGGGCGTCCGCACTGGGGGCGTCGCCGTCTGTCTCTGACCCGTGTGACCGGGCGGTCCTGTCCCCACAGCACATTTCCTGGAGCAGCTTAAATACGAGTGTCATTTCACCAACGGGACGCAGCGCGTGCGGCTCCTGGAGAGATACATCTACAACCAGGAGGAGTTCCTGCGCTACGACAGCGACGTGGGCAAGTACCTGGCGGTGACCGAGCTGGGGCGGCGGGACGCCGAGAACTGGAACGGGCAGGAGGACGTCCTGGAGCAGAGGCGGGCCGAGCTGGACACGTACTGCAGACACAACTACGGGGTGTCGGAGGGATTCCTGGTGCATCGGCAAGGTGAGCGCGGGCTGTGTGCGTGTGTCCGTGTGTGCGCGTGTGTCCGTGTGCGCGTGTGTGTAGGGCTGTGAGCGGCACACTTGTGAGGGGACCTGTGAGGGCCGCCGTGGGGGACAGTGTGTGTGATTCTGTCCCGCGAAGGGGCATTTCCGGTGGTATCTGGTGGGGTGCAGGTTTGGGGAGCAGAGCTGAGGGAGGTGAGCCCTGGGAGAGGTGAGGACTGGAGTCCCGGTCTGTCGTGGTCGTGGCCGCACCTTCCTGACCCTGAGCCCCCGGAGCAGGGCCCTGTGTGGGGTGCACAGCCTGTCACTGAGCAGATGGGTCACCCTGGTTTTGAGGGGTGAGGGGACCCCGAGGCACCTCTGATCTTTCTGAGGCTTCTTTACATCTAATTTTTTTCCCCATAGTGGATACATTTTTGCATAGTTGAAATGATTGTAAAACCAGGTTTTTAAATAATAATTTTGTTACTTAACAAACTGAAGTTACTCTCTTTATAATGATAATAGTATTTAACTACTTACATATTATCTTTTTATAGTTGTAACAATTTACCTCACATTCTGGATCTTTTTGTTTATATTACCAATACTCAGTTGAAATTTTATTTTTAATTTATACTTCTTTGATTTCTAACATTCTTGAACATTGTTTCAGGCATTTATTGGTTAATTGTTGTTCCTGCTCTAAGAATTGCCTGTAGTCTGTCACCTCCCTGGTCCTGGTGTTTTTCTGGGTGATTTTCTGGGTTCTCTGTGCAGTAAGATGAACACTTTGCTAACGTTTGATGCAGCATTTTCTCCAGTTCCTGGTTTGTGCTTTGATTCTGTTTTATTACTCTCCATGTTAAGAATTTAAACATCTTTAATGTAATGAGATGTACTGCCAAGTTGTTAGCAATGATTTACCATAAGTCTCTTTTTTGTTGTTGTTAATCCTCACCTGGGGATTTTCCATTGATTTTTTAGACAGAGTGGAAGGGAGGAGAGAGAGAGAAACATCAATGTAAGAGGGTCACCCCAATTGGTTGCCTCCTGCATGACCCCGACCAGGGCAGGGATGGAACCTGCAGCCCAGGTATGTGCCCCCAGGAATCCAACCCACGACCCTTCATTCCGAGGGCCAACTCTCTAACCACTGAGTGAAACCAGCCAGGGTGTACCGTCAGTCTTAAATCGACCCTTTTGGGGTGCAGTAAAAATGTTTTCCCCAGGTTTCTTCTCCTCCTTTTCTTCCCCCCCCCCTCCTCCTTGTCTTTATTGAGCCTGGTCTCAGGCAGGAAGCCCACATATTAATGAGTCCCAGACCCTGCTCTGCTCAAACGTCAGATTGAAAAGCGAGGTAATTATAATATGAAAACAAGTCCAATAACAGATAAGCTTCCTTTGAAAGGGAGAGAGATTGACCACCTGAGTGCGGTTCTAAGTGTTTAAATGGGTGGGTTCCTGCCCTTCCCTCTCCTCCGGGACCCAGGCTCTCTGGGACTCGGCTCCTGGGTCTCTCCTGCTTCCCCGGGAACCACTTCTGTGGTGTCGGGTGTGAGTGAAATCCAGGATTTCATACTGTATCCCCGTCTTCCCCACGCTGTCCCCCAGTTTATCCACCCTGCTTCGAATTGTGTTTTCTCTGCAAGTGAACAAGGAGAATAAATTGCTACCATGTAGTGACGGCTAAGTTCCAGCCATTGTTTTACACGTTTAGGTCCATTGATCCTCACTCATCCTTAAGAGGTAAGTTGGTGTTATCATCCCCCTTATAGGTGAGAAAGCTGAGCAGAGAGGAGCGTAAACATTCTGCCAGGATCAACCTGGAAGAGGCAGAGCCTGGATTTGAACCCAGGCTGCCCTGCCCCAGAAATCACACCTTTAATTAATACACTATCTGCCTTGCAAAGATTTGGAAACAATTCAACAATGAGCAACTGATTCAAGATATGACCCCCATTTCCTCGACCTCTCGAGCCTAGTGCGCCTGTGCTGTGGGGCAGGGCTAGGCTCGGGGTGCTGTCCTGTGGCCACAGCGGCTTTGAGGGAGGCCTGCCCGGGACTGGAGCCTGGAGCCTGGAGGCCCAGAGGGAGCCAACCCAGGAGCCTTCCTGCGTCTTCCTCACGCTGCCCCTCCCCCTCCTCTGCCCCAGCTGAGCCCACGGTGACCGTGTATCCTGCAAGGACCCAGCGCCTGCAGCACCACAACCTGCTGGTCTGCTCCGTGAGCGGTTTCTACCCAGGCAGCATCGAAGTCCGCTGGCTGCGGGACGGCCGGGAGGAGGAGGCGGGGGTCGTCTCCACCGGCCTGATCCGGAATGGAGACTGGACCTTCCAGACCCTGGTGATGCTGGAAACCGTCCCCCAGAGTGGAGAGGTCTACACCTGCCACGTGCGGCACCCCAGCCTGACGAGCCCTGTCGCCGTGGAATGGAGTGAGAAGCGTCCCGGCCTCACACCTGCCTCACCCGCCACAGGGCCTTTGCTCATCCCTGGGGTCGGGGTCCCCTCTCCCCACCGCAGATCTCCCTTTGCTCATGTTCTCCCTTCAGCGCAGGTCACTGGGGGAGCCCGTGAGCATCGCTGTGAATACCCACAGCCCCCTGGTCGGGTGCCCCTGGGCCCTGGGCTCCAGTCCCCTGCCTCAGGCTGGGCTGGTCCTTCTGCCTGTGGCTCTGAGTTGTCCACTGTGGTCTGAGAAGAGGCGCGTCCTCTGCAGCGAAGGGACCGTCCTGACACGGGGAGAGTCCAGTCTCTGCTCCGCCCTGAGCTCTGTCGCCTGGACGAGTGCGGACTCACTGGGCCCAGGCTCCGCACCCACCAGATGCTGAGTCCTGGCCTGAGGCCCGTGCGGGACCCTGGGTCCCCTCGGGTGATCCACGTCTCCTCCAGACGCGGCCGGCTGGCCTGCTTCTTCCAGGGCAGCCCTCCCCGCTCAGGGCTCGGTCCCGGCCTCAGTGAGAGGTGGGTTTGGGGGAAAAGCCCTGAAACTGGCTTCCTGTCCCAGGGCCACAGTCTGACTCTGCGCGGAACAAGATGCTGAGTGGAGTCGGGGGCTTCGTGCTGGGGCTGCTCTTCCTGGGGGCCGGGCTGCTCGTCCACTTCAGGAGCCAGAAGGGTGAGGAGCCTGTTGGCGGCTGCGGTTCCCAGGGCTCCCTGGTTCTGTGTGCCGGTGTCCCCTGGAGATGCAGGAACAAAGACTTCCTGGTTACTTGTGGTTGCAGCGTAGGGCAGTAAGGCCTGTGGAGGTGGGAGAAGGGTTAACATATGGAGATTTGAGTCCAGATGCTGGAGCAGATGCAGGAGCTGACCTGAGGTTAATAAAATCACACAGGACTTGTGACAGAGCTTCTGGGCTCTGGTCCCCTCCCTCCTGGTGGCATGTGTGGCGGGGGAGGAGGGGCAGAGACATCTCAGGGGGTCTGGGCGGGGCACCTGGTGTCTGGGGACATGTTCACCTTCATATCTTGTAAGTACATCTTCCTCCTCTTTCCAGCACACTCTGGACTTCAGCCAACAGGTAAGGCTCTTTAACCCTCTCCTGGACACACCGGGTTTCCCTGGACACAGGGGGGGACAGCGGGGAAGGCTGGCTCTGCGTCTGGCCAGGCCCTGTGCGCTGAAGTGTCTCCTCCCCACTTAATGAGGGGCCCTGTGGGGCTGGGCCGGGTGACCCCGGAGCTCTCCTTACCTGTGACAGGAGCCCAAGGGGCCCAGCTGCTTGTGGGCAGGTCTGGGAGCTACTGTCCTCTGTCCACAGGACTCCTGAGCTGAGTGACCAGGGGACGCTCCAGGTGGCCTCTGTCCTGCTCCTCCCACACCTTCCAGCATGAAAAGGCTCCCTGCCGGGCTCTTATTCTACAGAGAGGGCTCCGGGGCTCTGGTCCGTCCTGGTTCCCGACCCTGCAGAAAGGCCTCCCCGCTGCTCCCTCAGCTGCCCTGGACCTGGGACCCCCAGTGTTGACTGCAGACCCCGATCTCCCACCCGAGTCCCACCCTCACTGCTGTGCCCCTGAACTCCCCTCTGCCCACATTTCTCCGTAGTTTCCCTAATTAAATACGGAGTGAAGATCATCGGCCTCACTGGTTTTAAGGACAGAAAAAGAAAGAGAGAGAGGATCTCATGACAGTGCAACAGCAATTTTCATCTATTTTCCCGAATTCTGGCCACGAGGGGATCTGGACGGTATCCTAGCCCACCCCCCCCCCCCCCCCGGGTCCCTGCAGTTAGGCCGGTTCCCAGGGGGAGGCTGCAGTGCACCCCTCCCTGCTCCCCTGGGTGCTGTTCCTCAGAAGCACACACAGGCCCCTCCCCGGACACAGAAAGGGGACAGGGTAGGAACAGCAGGCCGCTGTGAGGACGGGATGCGGCCACAGCGCTTACAGTCGTGTTCTCTGGCCTCTTTGTCTCTGATTTTTAAAAGAAGTGTCTAGGCCTGGGCACTGGAAGTCCCCTTGCATTAGACTGAGGTGGCTCCAGACCAGCCTCCCCTGCCGCAGGTGGAAGCAGCGCTGCCCCCCCCCCCCCGCCTTTGTTGTGATGTGTCAGCGAGATAACCAGAGACGTACAGAATTGTAAAGGAGCACTTTATTCACCAGTGGGCTGCGGGGGCTCTCCCCAAATCACAGCCCTGATTGTTCTGCTCATCTGCTTTTAAAGACAGAAGCCACATTCCCTTTGGCTCCTTCTCAGGGGACCGGTACAACAGTGGGTGCAAAAGTTATTACAGAGGCCAAAATAAGCATTAGTCACTGGGCTCATGATTTTCAGTTCCTGATACTCAGAAACTGCAAGATACATCCCATTACATAGGTCAACCATAACCTAGGCAAAGTCCCTTTACTTCTAGGGGTAATAACCTATTATTGGAAAAATACCGAGGAAGGTCCACTGCCGATAACAATGGAGTCGCTTAGTCACCTTGGCCAAGGGGCCCAGCTCAGGGCCCTGCTCATTCCCCACTGGTTTTCCTAACAAGTCAAATCGTTGACTCTTCTTCCTTAAGAAATAAGAGGTCTAATTTAATCCTGTTCTGTAGGACCATTTCGGCTTAGGAGTTTTCTGAGTGGCTGAGATCTGTATCTATCTGGAGGCTGAGTTCCCTTAGATTCTGGTCATTCTTGATTAGTGCAGTAATGCCTACAGCTGTAGACAGTTGAGGTTGGTCAGCCTTTTAAAATTTATATGTGGATCCCTATTTTTAGATAGCCTGTAATAGTAGGTATGGTTTCACAACTCCAAGAGGGACCGAAATATTCATTAGCATTTAGGCAGCTAGCAGTAATCTTGCCACCTCGTGGGCAAATATAAAGTCCTGTCCCTTGTAATCCCCATTTTCAGCAGATGTTCCACAGCCCCGTGCTGGGGTGTCTTCTAGTTGGGGCTAACCCCTCAGTGTGGGACCCAGATCTCAGGGACCTTTGTGACCCCGATGGTCTCCCTCAAGAGGTCACATAGATCAAGGTTGAAAACAGGTTTTTCTATTTCCTTTGTAGTAACACTTAAGACCTCCCCTGATATTTCATTTCTAAGTTCCACTTCCACTGGGGCCCAGGTCTATAAGGATTCCCCTCAACAGTCATGACCAGAGAGAACAAGGTCCTGATGAATGCAACAGTCTTGTCTTTAGGGGGTCCTGTGTCTCTTCTGCTGTCCATGTTGTCTTTTCTACCTTCAGCCAAGAGTGGTGTAACCAGGTTGGAATGCCATTAACCTTTACTGCCACAGGGGTGGTCAGGATGACAGTGTGTGGTCCCTTCCAAGTTGGAGTTAGTCCCTGGGTGTTGAACTTCTTTACTCACACAGAGTCCCCAGGCTGGAAGGGGTGAACAGGTCAGAGGTGGGCGCAGGCCTTCCGAGCGGACAGCAGGGCCTGCAAGAACTTGAAGAAGGAGCAGTTGTGATTTCAGCTTTGAATTCTTCTCTGAGCTTGGGAAGAATGGGAGGAGGCCTACCATAAGTAATTTCATAAGGGGAGAATCCTTCCCGGTATGGCGCACATCTCACCTGTAAGAGGGTGAGGGGGAGCAGAGTGGTCCAGTTTTCACCGGTTTCTAAAGTAAATTTGGTTAAGGTTTCCTTTAAGGTCCTGTTCATGTGCTCTACCTGCCTGGAACTCTGGGGGCAGTAAGCACAAGAGCTTCTAATTTATATTTAACCCCTTAGAGATATCCTGTGATATCTTTGCTATCAAGGTGGGGTCATTGTCTGATCCAAGGGTCAGGAGTAGCCTAAACCTGTCACTCCCTTTAGACTGTTATTCTATCACTAGGGCCAAGCTCTCCCCTCTCAGTGTCCTATTTCCTTCCCTTCTTGAGTATTCCTCCAGTGTCCTGTCTTCCTGTAATACGCGTGTCCCTTTCTTTTACCCTTTTTCAGCTTTCACTTCCTCTTTTTGCTTCTTCCCTCTACATAATCCTTCTTCAACTTGCACAGACCCTCTGCAACTTTCCTAGCCCCTCCCCTGACGCGAACCTGAGAGCTTGCTCAGTCCACCTGCTGTCTGCACAGTTCCCGGGTTTCCTTCTCCTTCCTACTCAGACCCGCACATACCTGCTTCCCTCTGCCTTCTCCCTCTCCCTGTGACCTTGCTGGACACTGCCTGCCTCTCAGGAGTTCAGTGAGCTTGGTGTAAGCTAAGTGGGTGGTCTGGTACAGCTGGTTAACCAAAGTCTGACCCAGAGCCTCTGGGACCAACAACCTCCCGTCAGGCAGTGTCCACCATCCACTGATTTCCTTTATGGCTTGTTTCTGCCTGGCTAAGTTACTTTCTGACCTAGTGTATCTGGGGAGGCCCCGCTGGTTTTAGGGTTACCTGCCAAAGTTCCTGGTCTGCAGCAGATTTCCCTGTGCCTCTACGGAGTTCCCTTTTTGATGCCCTTCCTGGCTGAGGTTAATAACCCTTGTTCCTGGTAGATGGTGCTGTGCACGTGCGCTGTGGTAAAGGCATATCTGCTGTCAGTATAGATGGTTACTGACTTTCCCTTGCCCCCGTGGAGAGCCTGAATTAGAGCAACTAGTTCTGCTCTTTGGGCTGAAGTTCCCCTATTCAAGGACTGTGACCAGATGACACGGTCCTGAGTTACTACTGCTGCCCCGGCATACCTGATTCCTTCCTGGACATAGCTGCCCCGTCTGTGCAATATCTCATCTGATGATGGCGGTGGGGCATCCCCGAGGTCTGGGCAGCCATCTGCACTATGCCGATTACCTCCAGGCCGTCCTGCAGAGGTTTCTCCGGGTCGTCGTCTGGAGGCGGGCTGGCAGGATTGATGGCCAGTGTCTTGTGGAACATGAGGCGGGGCTGATCCAGGAGGTGACTTGAGCACTCCGGAGGAGGGCTTCAACCGCGTGGGGTTAAAGCTGACGCCTGCCCCAGAGCTAACTTGTCTGCCTCCTTCACAGGAGCTACAGCAGCTGCTCTGAGGCCAGCTGGCCCTCCAGGTGCTACCAGGTCTAATCTTTCAGATAACTGAGCTATCAGCCTTTTCCAGGCTCCCAAGTTTTGGGTGAGGACTCCCTTTGCTGTGCCTCTGGACTTGCTTCCCTACAAATGGAAGGGTTTTGTGACGTCCAGTAGGGCAAGAGCAGGTGCTGAAATTAAGGCCCTTTTTAAAGTCTTGAAGACTTTCTGTTCTGTCTCAGTCCAAGTCAAAGGTAGTGCTTCTTCAATAAAGGATATTGTAGGCTGTAACTTTCAGAGGAGATCACACCCCAACAGTGGATATGGACATTCGGGCATAACTAAGAAAGAGTATGTAACGGTGCCCTTCCCACGATTTACAGTTCTGTTAGTGTCCAAGGATAGAGCGCAGTCTGACCTGTCGCTCCTTGAACTGAGGTCTTCTTAGTTGTTAGTGGACCCAGAGGCTCAGTCAGGACTGAATGTGTAGCCCTGTATCTATTCAGAAATTAGCTGGCCTGCCCCCTGCCTGTGCAGTGATCCTGGGCTCCCGGGGCTGAGCTAAAAGGAGCCCTTGCCCGTCATTCCTCTAAGTGAAGGATGGCTGGGGTGTGTGTATTTCCCTTGCCTTCCCTACCTGCTCGACTTGGGCATTCTTGTTTCCAGTGTCCCTCTTTCTTCAGTAGGTGCATTGGTTCTTCCCCAGTCGGGCCCTAGGCCGGCCGTCCTGACCCTTCCTCATGTTTCCCTTCCTAGGGTGATCCTCTTCCGTGGGCCCTGTTCCCTTAAGGCTGCTATCACTACCTTTGCTACTCTTGTATTGTGTTTTTCCCCAGGAGTGTCCTTATTATTATATACCTTTTGAGCTATCTCAGCCAGTTGGGAGAGATTCATTTCTTCAAAACCTTCTAGCTTTTGGAGCTTCTTTCTAATATCTTGGGCTGACTGGGTAACAGAGGCCGCGCTTACTGCCCGCTGGTTGTCTGAAGCGCCCGGGCCTGTTGGGGTACACCCGGTATGCCTCACAGAGTCGCTCCAGAAAAGCAGCAGGAGATTCCTGCAGGCCCTGAACCACATCTGACACCTTGGATACATTAGCAGGCTTCCTAGCACCCACCCCTAATCCCGTTAATAAGAACTGGTGAACAATGTCCAGTGAAGTTTCCCTGCAGTGGTATTGGGGTCCCATCTGGGCCTGAGGGTGGGAAACGCGCCATCAGTCCTGTCTCTAGTTTTCTCTACGATCTCCCACCAGGGCCCAAAGTCGCCTTTCTGGCCTCTAGTTTAATGCTCTCCCTCTCTTCTGGGGTAAGGAGGGTGTGAAAGATTGTTTCTAGGAGGCTCTTCTGAGAAGAGGGGGTTCCAAGCTCTCTAGTTATAAAGATCACTCACGCAGAATGGGACATAGACCGGAAACGGCTGCCCCCACCCCCGCTAGATTCCCATCCGCCAGGGGAGCTTCCCTCAGAGGCAGGATGACCTTTCCTGGAGGACCCCCCCCCCCCCCGCTGCATGCCTGGTCGCCGGGTGCCCCTCAGCACCTCCCCAGAGTGGGGGGAGGCTGGAGGCCCGGCAGCTGCAGCAGCTCCTGGAGGCTACACTGCTGGCGGCTGCGGTGGAGCTACATCCCCTGCTCGGTGCAGCTGCCCCTGCCGCCTGTG